CAGAATACACATTCTTCTTAGCTTACATGCACATTTACAGGAGAGGTCAGGCTATTATTTACAATAAGTATAAAAAACTACTCTTGACCTTTCATCTGAATTTTTTTTCTTTATTTGTCTCTTATGGAGGGGGGTGGTGTAAGTTATGACCTTCCATATACATTTTAAATCAGCTTATCAAGTTCCTTTTAATAAGGAATTATAATTTTAATAAGGAATAATAATAAGTTCCTTGCTTATTTGGAATTACCTTTAAACTTCATAATTTATTTTTAAAAATTCATAGCTTTATGATGCTGTGCCTTCCTATTCCTGAATGGTATAAAATATAAATGTATTTAGGTCTTTTTGAATGCCTACTGGTTATCTTCTGTTGTATACTTGTGGAAGTTTTTAGGTTTTATGAGCTCTGTTTCTTGTAGATAACATGTTTTTTTAGATTTTATTTATATATTTTACACAGAGAGAGAGAGAGAGCACAAGCAGGGGGAACAGCAGGCAGAGAGAGAGGGAGAAGCAGGCTCCCTGTTGATCAAGGAGTCCAATGCAGGGCTGGATTCCGGGACCCTGAGATCATGACCTAAGCCAAAGGTAGACACTTAACCAACTGAGCCACCTAGCCATCCTGATAACATGGTTATTATTTATTTGAGCTCTTGAATTTATTTACCTTTGGTTATTTGAAATTCACAAAATAATACTATATATTAGCTTAAAATTTGGAATGAACTTAACTGATCATTGGCTTCTTTTGTGCTATTTTTAAATAATTTAATGTTAAGATTTATTTTTTGAGCTTTACTGAAATATAACAAATTAGATTGTGTAAGTTTTCTTCTTAGAAATACCTTTTATATCAACAACTAACTTTTTTTGGTTTTATAAGTTTATCACTTTGTGTATGATATATAAACAACTCCTGTAGTACTATATTAAAATGTAGGTATGCCTGGGTAGCTCAGTTAGTTACGCATCCAACTCTTGATCTCAGTTCAGGTCTTGATCTCAGGGTCGTGAGTTTAACCCCTGAGTTGGGTTCTACCGTAGGCATAGAGCCTACTTAAAAAAATAAAATAAAATGTAGGTGGTACTTTGGAAGGTAATAAACATTACTAATAAAAACTGATGCCCCAAAGTGTACGTACAAGATGATCCCACCTTGATAAAACAATTAAAATAAAATACACATTCTAGGGATATATGCAGAGGCAAGCACAGTGCGTAGAGAGACAGCAAGGAAATTATGACCAGGGGATCCTGAGTGGTGGTTACTCCAAGGGCTGGGAGGATGAGGTAATTAGGTAACGAGTCACCATAATAATCTGATGTAGAGGTTTTTTTGTAGGGGTTCTAGCTTTCATTTTGGCTACTTTGTTTAAGGGAGTTTACACATTATTCATAGTTATGATTTCATATTTTTAAAGACTGGAAATCAGCCATGCAAATGACACAAATGAGAATGGTCATGAACCATGGATGACTAATCTCTGCGTAAATTTAATTAAAACTCTAAGTTTTAACTTAAAAAAAAAAAAAGATATGGCTTTCTATTGTTACCAGATGGAGGACTAGGTATCCTAAGAAATCTGCAATTGTGAAACACCTACCAACCAGGAAAAAATAGTGCTCACATTACTTTAAATGTACAGTTGTTCTCAGAAGAAAGTGAAATCTCCAGATAGCAAATATAAAAGGAAAGGTGAAAACTTCTCCTATGGATTTACTCCTTGCTAAATGTTTTTCTTTTCTAAGTGAAGGGCTGGCTGAGGCATGGTTGTGCTTTTCCTTTACTTTCCAGCCTCTTGACTGAAACACCAAGGACAATATATTGCACAATAAAACCATGCTACAATGCACAAAGATTTTTCAGTCTACACAGAAGAGCTCTTCTACTAGGTGAGTTGCTTTCTCCCTTGTCATCTAAACATAGGTGCAGCATAAATGTGCAAGGCATTTAGCTCAAAGACTACTTTAAAAAACAAACCGACAAACAAAAACACCACTTTTAGAAAGAGTTGACTAGTTTCTTGAAGATTCATTTTCAACTGAAATATCAGGTAAAGTTTGGTCCAAGTTTCACATTTCCCTTGCATATCTGCATATTCCATCTCCTCTGTTATTTCTCTTGTCTAGAAATATCCTTTTAATGCCAATTCTAATAGAGTCTAGGGGACTAGACTATTTAACATACAGTTGGGAATTAGGAAAAAAAGACAATCAAAGGACACATCTACCCAATTCCTCAGCAAGTACATGGACTCTAGAGCTCCCCTATTGGTGAACTGGGGTCTTTTCCGTTGAAACAGAGGACTGGACAGGAAACTTTGTTCTGTTGCTGTGGCTTGTTGTTGATAATGAAGGAAATTTCCCAAATATAGACTTAAGTAACATACAAAACACAGCATGCAACAAATTATGAAAGGAATACACAGTGATGTATATTCCACCCATACCTGGAATTTAATGAGGTACCACAAAGCTCATTAGAGGTTTCATTTACAGTAACTTGGAAATAGATGACTAGAGAACAAAATAAAATGGCAGATTTTTTAAAAAATGTAATGAAGAATTTACAATTATAATATTAGAAATAATTTTAAATTTTCTTATATTTTCAACATCTGCCAGTGATCTCAGAAAATGAATTAAAATTTGTTGGCATTATACCAGGAATTAAGAATATATTCTACTTTTTATTAACAGAGATATGCCTATTGCCCATTGCTAATTTTGTTAAAATATTAAATTGATGGTAACATTAATGATATTTAGTAGCTATATTGAGCTATAGTTAAAATATAGTAATATTTAAAATTACTATACATATTTAAAAATGTATGATTTGATGAGGCTTGACATGTAAATCCATAAAACCATCATCATATATGAGATTATGAGGATGTCCATCGCTCCTCAAAGTCTCCTTGCATTATATATTAGAAGCTGAATACATTCTGGAGTTACAAGCTAGCTTTTTTGTGATGTATTTTCTAGTTAAGTTTTCATGAACATACTTATATATCTCCATAATCTTTAAGTGGCCTTTCACACTGTGGAATTCAGAAAACAGAAAACATGGGTTTTATTTTATGCTTCAGTGAATATGTAATAATTTTTACATAAAGGTATTCTTTATTACTGTCTAACAACAGACTATCTCTACCAGTCAATTCAATCAAAAGTATAGACTCATGAAAGTAGATAAATATACAAGGTAAGCTGAGTGTTTGGATCTGTTTTAACTTACCTTGTCCGTGAGAACAAGAAACCCGTAAGATGAGAATGACATTAATTAGTAACCACATGTCAGATATTCCCAATGACATGTTAATACAATCTTCCAGTTGTGTTTTGAGGGGTTGGCAGTTATCAGGTGTGACCCTGAATCTAAGTGCATTACAAAGAAGCTAGTTAATTGTTGCCATCCAGTAAATAACAAAGTTCAAAGAGCTTTGCAAAACCCCTAAATAATTCCCATCAGTGGTTTCGCAATCTTTCCTTGCATTCAATATCTGATACGTACATATTCAACTTGATGTAGAACCAGGAATAGACTGGCTCTGAAAATAATAAAAAAAAACCACTAATTTTTAATAAGACAGTTCCAAAAAGTAGGTGAGGTTCTTCCCAGGCAGCTGAATCATCTCTATGGTCATGGGCTTAAGAAAACAAATGATTTTTTTTAAATCACATAAGATCTTAATATGTGGTACAAAAGTTAAAGCAAAATTCTGAGTACTTATATATTCTATAACTAAGGTGCTTTGAGCCACCTTTTCCTCAGGGCCCAATTTACTCTGAAACATATAATGACTTCCCCTGTTGGGAAAAATATCATACAAATTTCTGCCTGCTTATATTTGTCAATTTTTAGGATATCATCTTTTGCTATAAAAAAATTGTTTTCAAGCAGATAATTAAAATCTATAATATTACTATAAAAGAGAAAACAAATGAGAAAATAATTCCAAGCACTAACCTACTCAATATCTTCCTTTTCCCCTGACAAGAGATCTGGAAGGAACTCAGCTGACTTGCCAGGGCTGGGTAAGGTAAGCTGATCAGAATAACACCCAGTAAGAGACCACTGGAAGCCCTGGTTGCTGGAGAAGCCTGGGTCTACATCAGGCAGCAAGTCCAAATGGGAACGGACTGTCATCAATTTGTAGCTGCTTGCCATATTCCCAACTGAAGGCAGAGCTGGAGGAATCAGGTCTGCCTTGCATTGTGGGCCCAGTGGAATGGCTGGGGTCCACTCCAATGACCCTTGGAAGCTTTGAGTACTGGAGAAGCTCCTCACTTCAGCTGGCAGCCATTCCAATTGAACACAAAATTTCAACAGATTAGGGGCGCCTGGGTGGCTCAGTGGGTTAAGCCTCTGCCTTCAGCTCAGGTCATGGTCTCAGGGTCCTGGGATGGAACCCTACATCGGGCTCTCTGCTCAGCAGGGAGCCTGCTTCCCCCTCTCTCTCTGCCTGCCTCTCTGCCTACTTGTGATCTCTCTCTCTCTCTCTCTCTCTGTCAAATAAATAAATAAAACCTTTAAAAAAAAAAGAAGAAGAAGAAGAAGAAGAATTTCAACAGATTAAAGCTGCCCTTTCAGAAAGGTACTTTCACTCCAAGGGTTTTCTGGCGGTTTAAATCTAGTGAGAGTTCCACAGGTCTAGAGTGCTCTCCACAGGCCAACACCAGTTGTCATGGTGTGGACTGGGCTTGAGCAGACCCCATGGGTCAAGGTGACCAAGGACCTGGAACAGAGCAATGTCAGGCAAGGCTGATCACAGGAATGGTTTCATGGAAGTACCTGGCATCTGCCTCATTCTAAGACTCAAACTGCACCAATGTGTGTATCCCCCACCCCCCAACCGCAGAAGGCAGGTAGGAATAATCTGGACTGCTTTGCCTGGGAGAGGGAGGAAGCAGACAGAAGGAATGGCTGAGCTATCCTACAATAACAAAGGAAGAACAAAGGCACAAAGACACAAACGAAACTTCCTCACCAAAAGATTTTCGGCGTGTGAACCTGGAGGCTAGCAGGTGTTTGGGGACAGGCCAAGGGCTGTCCAAGGATGCAGACCATGCATGCACGGGCCACACAGATCCAAGGTAGTCAGAGCACCTGGAACAGGGCAATGTAGGGTAAGGCCAGGTCACAAAAGGCCATTAGTAGGGGTGCCTGATATCTTGACTTTCAGTATTTAGGCTAGCATGATACAAGGTGACTGTGCTTGGAGAAATATGGGCAATAACAGCTGTTATAATTATAGAATTGCTTGAGCAACAAGAACAAGAAGAATTAGAAGTCTATAGGACACTACCTTACACTGCGGGCGTGAATCCACTATGCATCTTTTATCCATCCTATCAGCATTCCCACCAGGTGGGGGCAGCATGCTGCCAGCCGGCCGTCCTACTTTGCCTGCTGCTCACGAATGGGTACTCTTCTGACACCACAGTCAAAATCACTGCAGGAACTAAAAAGAGAAAGAAAACATGCATCCCTAAAATAAGACAGCCTTGAATCCTGATGTTACAGCGGCCAAACGCATGCTTGGCAGTGCTCTGCAAGCTTGTACCCCTTGGAGCTCCATAAAAATGATCTCTACTTAGAAACATATTTTCAAGGCAGTTAAACTGAGAGGCTGAAGAAGGTTACATTTTGGTGATTGGATATGGTACCACATTAAAGAGTTCTTTGTTATGCTTATAGGTAATATCAGGAATACAGTGCCTTAAAACTGGACATCAAACCATGGTGTTATAGAACCCAAGGGAAAATACTCCCCAAATTTGATGGAATGTTCATCATTAAGATTGAAAGTAGACGTAGAATCAAGAAGTGGATTGTTATTTTTGTGAACTTAGATCTAGGCCCGGCATTAGGTTTAAGGACCTAATTCGTGTGGGAGTGATTTGAAATTACACCGTTGATTGTTTTGTATTGACTTCAAATCCAATCAAAGACCAAAAAAATGTATTTTTAGAAGGAAAGTTGTTTTAATTTAAGAATGAACTAAGTTGTGTCAGGACGACGTCATCTCATCTGTTCTCACCCAGAAGAACTCATTAGCTCAGCTCATGAGGGCCCCTCCTGGGGCCTTACGAACAAAACCACATGAAGAAGCGACTCCAGCAAGAGGCCATTTTGACTATGTAGACTGACGGTGCTGAGACTACGTATATGATCCGAGCGTGCTGGGTCTGGGCAAGGCTACACTTTGCTGATCTAAGGTAGCTAGCTGTCCAGGTCCCTCGGGCAAGTATCCTCTGCAGAGGTAATGGTGACTCTTACAGCTAGCAGAGAAAGCTAGCCAGCCAGCCCTCTCAGCACATCTTCTGCCCACAGAATCAGCACCATCGTTCCCCTCCAACGCGCCCTAGACAGGCCTCTTACTTTTGCACTAGCAGCCACACTTCAGCTCTCAGTTGGCTAAACAATGTCTCCCAAATGCCAGCTCATATAGAAGTACACATCAGCGACATCTGGAGTTTATTCCTTCTATCTCCCCTGACCTGGACAGTAGTGTGACTCACCTGACATTATTCGGGATCATGTCATTTCTTTATTGGCTAATTAAAAGACATTATCCCGTATGCTACTGGCTTGTGAAATTCTCACAGTGGACCCATGTAAATACATCGTTGGCCCAGACAAATCAGTCTGCGAACATCATGCTCTGCAAAACACAGCAGGCTTCGGGGGAATATGTGCATTTGCATAGGTTGGGGCTGGGACTAGGCGGATTACAGGTACCCCCACTAGCCTGCCCCTGTGACCTGGCCTTGCCCAGCATTTGCCCTGTTCCAGGTCCCTGAACTGTACCACCACCCATGAGCGGTCCACACCCTGCCAGCCACCCTTGGCCAGAGGAGACCCTCCAGGCTTGTGAAGCTAGGGCTTACTAACATTTTGTCAGCTGTGGAGGGAGCCCACCCCGGAAAATCACTGTAAGCCAGCCAGTAACTGGGTATCGGGGAGTCCTTGTGTGTACTCCCTGTTTGCTGGGTTCCTAGGCTCCTACAGTAAGAGAGGCTCCCAGGTGTCTCTTCTTGGAGGGTACCAAAGCCAGCCTGCCCAATCCAACCCCGGGGAGGCCGTCCGGATTCCTCCAGCTCTGCCTTCAAGGGCCTTATGCACACTTGTGCAGTCAGGGCTGGGAATTAAGCAGAATGCCAGGCACCCCCAATGGCCCTCCCACCATGACCAGCCTCCCTGGACGTTGCCCTGCTCCAGGTCCCTGGCTACCCTGACCTGCAGTGCCTACCTTGTCAGCTGGCCTTTGGCTTCAGGAGTCCTGCAGGACTGTGGAGGTTAAGGCCATTCCCAACTCCCAGCTTAACCTCCAGGTTAAAGACCCAGCACCCCCCCCCCAACACATACACACACACAAATACATGTATACAAATATCTCTGAGGTGGCAGCTTTATAATGGCAACCCTCAGCCCCCATTTGGACTGGCTGCCCGATAAGTTCTACTCTCCTGGGAGTCTGGTTTTTTTTTTTCTTTTTTTGAAGATTTTATCTATTTATTTGACAGACAGAGATCACAAGTAGGCAGAGAGGTAGGCAGAGAGAGAGAGATGGGGGGAAGCAGGCTCACCTCTGAGCAGAAAGCCCGATGCAGGGCTTGATCCCATGACCCTGGGATCATGAGCTGAGCCGAAGGCAGAGGCTCTAACCCACTGAGCCACCCAGGCGCCCCGGGAGTCTGTTTTTGGAGGATTCCCTGGCCAGCACCCCCAGCCCTTCCCAGCAAGGCACTTTGGATTTCTTCAGCTCTGCTTCAACAGGAATATGAGCACTTGTGCCAGTTAACGCTTGGAAGAAGAAGGATGCCCGGTCCTCCCAACAGAATGCTCCTGTGACCTGGCCTCATCCAACATTGCCCTGCTCCAGGTCCCTGGCTACCCTAATCTGTGAAGAGAACTTGGCCTGATCATTTCTGTAAGTGCAGCACAAGGAGCGACTGATCCTATGGGCCTCTTAAAAGCACTGTGTGCCCCATGTCCATGGGTCTTGGGCCTCAGGGTCTCCCCAGGTCTTGGAGCTCTGGCTGAACCCCAAACTTACTTAATGGTGTCAGGAGAGCCCACCGTCTGAAAATCTGAGGAGCTGCCTTACACAGGCAACAGTTATCACCTTTGATACTGGCTGCCTGATGAACTCCGAACGCCCACCTGGCCGCCTACCTGTAGACCAATCCAGAATCCTTCCGCTTGCCTTTTAGGGGAATATGTGTATTTGTATAGGTTAGGGCTTGGAATTAAGCAGCTCCCGTGAACAACCCAAGAGCCCATTCCTGTGACACACTCTCTCCCATCACTTGCCCTTTTCCAGGCATCATGCTTAGCCTGACCTGAATTACCTGCACGTGACCATAGGCACCTGGTTTGCTGGCCTCCTGCAGCGGGGGCCCTCCGAGCCTCTGGGACACAAGCCTGTCTACACACACCCACATAGATGTTAGGCTTGAAGCATCCTTTTTTTTTTTTTTTTTAAGGTTTTATTTATTTATTTGACCGGGAGAGAGTATGAGCCGGGGGGAGTGGCAAGTAGAGGGAGAAGCAGGTCTCTAGTGAAGCAGGGAGCCTGACACAGGACTCCATCTCAGGATTTTGTGAGCACTTTGTGTGCCAAGGCAGATAATGGTTTTTCCTCTTTTCTCTTTAAATTTGACCTTGGTTTGGAGGCCTTGGTTGACTTCTGAAAAGAAGCCCTGGTTAGAGGATGTCAATCAAGAATCAGAGAAGACTTAGGGATTCTGCTCAGAGAAGTTCTCTTGTTCTTGTTTCTTGGATTCTTGCTAATATGCATCTACTTTTGCTAATGTTGCATAGGATAAGACCTTGTTTTTAGATAAAGGAAGTAAATTAAAGGAAGTAAATTAAAGTAGGCATGTGTCATACTAATCTGATCCTTTCATGCAAACTTTGGGATGTATACTTAAAAACTGGGCAGCTTTGAGTTGTGACCCCATGAAAACGAAGATGATGATACTTTCCTGCAATACTGCTTGGCCACAGGTACTCTTTAGACTCCAGAGAAAAATAGCCTAAAAATGGATCTTTGAATTAAAATGTTATCTTGCAACTAGTTTTGTTTTGTAAACAGGAAGAGAAATGGGATGAGATACCCCTGTTCAGTTTTTTTGTTGTTGTAGCAGAGTAAGCCCGTGCAAAAGGAATATAAAATTCTAGTTAAACAAGAAGGGAGGGGAAGAAACCGGTTTCACCTGATTCAAACAGAAAGGACCATTTATTGTGGATTCGTGCACACACGGACTGCTCCTGCAGCTCCACATGGGGGCGCTGCTGCTCTGCCGCCACCTCAGCCTCAGCCCCAGCCCCTCCACTTTTCCTAGGGTCAAAATTAGGAATGGTCTCTCTCCCACACCGGCAGTGAACTCCATAAACGAGGAAGTCATCCTATCTCAAGCAGAGTAATTTGCTTTAAGGTAAGTCCTTAAAGGAGGTGTGGACAACCAGCTTTGATTTGGCTCTAAGCTCCCTTTTCATCCTTGGATTTGTTTAACTGGGAAAAGATGCCAGTTTACTGAGATGACCCTATAGAATGGAGAAGTTTTTAAAGATTTTAATAATTTATTTGAGAGAGAGAGAGAAGGAACAGGGGGGAGGGGCAGAAGGAGAGGGAGAAGCAGAGCTGAGCGGGGAGGCCGATGTGGGGCTCCATCCCAGGACCCCAGGATCATTACCTGGGCTGAAGGCAAATGCTTAACCAACTGAGCCACCCAGGCGCCCCTAGAATGGAGAAATTTTTTGCCTCTATTTTTGGCTACCCATAATAAAACTTGGGCATGTTTTCAAACCCTCCCACCCTCTTCACATCAGAAGAAGGTAGGATGATCTTCCAAGATGCTCTTGCTGAAGGTGGTAAGACTCTTGAAGAAGCCCCTAATAATCCACTGAGAGCCCCTGCAGCCTTAGCCATGCCAACAGCCGACTCTAGATGGAGCCCTTAAGACACAGGAGATAGAAACAAGCTAGAGCATTATAGACTCTATATTTAAAGGGCTAAAGGAGGGAATCCCAAATCAAAGAAGCAAAATAAAGTTCAGGAGATAAAGCAAAAGCCTAATGAAGAGCTTTCAAAATGTTTGGAAATTGTTTTTAAGGTCTATAGAAATACATAGACATGGACCCAGCGGCCCCCAAGAATTTAAAAATGATAAATAATGACCTTTATTTGTCAAAGTGCTCAAGATAGTCAAAAGAAATTGCAAAAAGTAGAGGGAGCCCTAGGCATGTCTGTGTCTCATTTGGTTGAAACTGCCTTTAAAGTTTTCAAGGGCAAAAACCAAGTTCAAGAAAGAAAAGGACAGAAGATGAAACAGATTGGTTTGGCCGAGGGCTGCTCTGGCCCCAGGACCACCTCGCTCTCTGCCACAAGGAAGAGTTCCATCTAAGGTCAGCCATAGGGACCCCAAGCCCCAAACCTTAGGGGATATGCCGCAGTGGCACCCCCACCAAAGTGCCTACTGCGAGCAGGAAGGACATTGGAGAAAAGAATACCCCAGCCTAAACCAAGCCCCAGAAAAAGGCAAGCAGCCCACGGTTCACCAGATGCCAGAGATCACTGGTAGTGATCAGTTGTAAGGAAGCCCGGGAGCTCCCTTAGACCTTACTGACCCAGCCAAGATTTCCTGTACAGGCTCCACATGACCCGTGGGAATCAAACTCCTGGACTTTCGGCGCGGGGGGTGGGGGGGAAGCGGAGGGAGAGAGAGAGAATCTTACCCAGTCTCCGCGCCCAGCACAGAACCCCATGCAGGGCTTGATCTCATAACCCTGAGATCACAGTCTGAGCCAAAATCACGAGTCAGATGCTTAACTGACTGAGCCACCCAGGTGCCCCAAACTCCTGGACTTTTTGTTTGATTCTGGGGCTAGCTATTTGGTACTCAACACTTCGTTTTCCAAATTATCTAGAGAGTGTTAATGACTGGACTTTGGGGGAAAACCTTTAAAAAGTCTTTTCTCCAACCCTTAGACTGTCAAATGGGAAAAATACATCTGAAACACAGGGTTTTTGTATTTGCTTCAAAGTCTTGTTCCACTGCTGGGGCAAGATTTATTGACCAGATTAAATGCTAGAGTCACCCTTGCACCCAGATAAATGGTCATCAAAGTATTTACCTCATCAGGCTTACGCCCTCCAAGCAGTACTTTTGCAACAGATGAGAGACTCTGGCCAAGATCCCAGCAGAGATTCTGTGAGATGTGTGGGCAGATGGGAGGATGCAATGGACAAAAATGGTAGTACTTACACATATTAAAGTCTGTTCTGAGTCAAAGGTTTTAGACTTAAAATAGTACCCTCTGAAGAAGCATGCTAGACAAGATATTCAACCCTTATTCACTGTGTTCCTTGAATGTGACCTCATCTGCCCTTGCTCTTCTCCATTTAACACCCCAGCTTCGCCAGTGCGAAAGCCAGGCATACAAGAATACTGTTTTATCCAAGATTTAAGGGCAATTAATCAGACTATAGAAGACATCCATCTGGGGGATGCCCAATCCTTACACCCTGCTTACCACTCTGTCCAGAGATTTTGGTTTGTTCACAGTTTTGGACCTTAAAGGTGCTTTTTTTGGGGGGGGGGCAATCCTATAAGCCCTGATCCCCAAGATTTGTTCACTTTTGAATGAGAAGACCCCAATACCAGAGTCAAGGAACAATATTGCTGGACTGTTCTTCCCCCAGGGCTTCAAGAATTCTCCCACTATCTTTGGCAAAAGCCTGGCAAAGAATTTGAGAGACCTTCAGTTGGAAGAAGGAACTTTTCTCCAAGATGTAGACAACATTCTGATAGCCACTAAGACTAAAGAAACTCTAAACTTCCTAGGCAAGCAAGGCTACAGGGTCTCAAAGAAAAAAAAAAAAAGGAAAGGAAAGGAAAAGAAAGGAAGAAAGCAAGGGAAAAGAAAAAAAAAACAAATTTCCCAACCATTCATCAGATAGTTGGGTTTTCAACTGTCGCAGGGGCAAAGGAGTCTACTCTCTGTTAGGAGGGAAGTACGAGTGTGGGTAGCAGGCCCACCACTAGAGGATAGTTACATGGATTCTTGGACATCTGCCATATCTGGATCTCCAGCTCTGAATTAATAACCAAACCCTTTGATGAGGCTCTCAAAGGAGGAGACAGTGAGTCCCTCAACTGGACTGATGAATGCCATAACACTTCCCAAGTGATCAAAGAAAAGTTACTCACAGCTCTTGCTCTGGGTCTTCTAGATATTAAAAAACCATTTGGTTTGTTTCTTCACGAGAGACAAGGAATTCATCTTGGAGGTTTTAACACAGAATCTGGGCCACATCAGGCGACCAGTTGTCTCCTTTTCAAAACAACAGAAATACCGTGATTAAGGGATGGCCCATCTACTTGAGAGCTATGCCTGTCACCCGTGATCTACTGCCAGAAAAAAGAGAAGTTCACACTGGGGCCATCTCCCCCAGTGTGCACACCCCACTATGTGCTTCCCCTCTGGGAACAGAAAAGGGGTTATTGGCTCATATCAAGAAGACTGGGCAAATATGAGGCCATCCTACCAGGCAACTCAAATGTTACCTTAAAGGCAGTTTCAACGCCAAGTCATGGCACCCTGCTTCCAACCAGTACAGACGAACCCATACATGACCGCATACAAATAACTGAGCAAAGTTATTTCAGCTACCCTGACCTGATGGGTTGCTATTAGAACAGCCAGACCTCAAGGTGGTCATTGATGAAAGCAGTTTCATTTATCAAGGATACCGTAGGGCTGGATATGCTGTACTGACTCACCAAGAGGTACTAGAAGCAGATGACGTTCCACCATATACTTCAGCACAGAAAGCAAAATGTAACAAGGACTTTTCACCGAGGTAAGACGAAAAGAGTGACTCTTTTTACTGACTCCAAATACACTTTTTCAGTGGCCCATGCTCCTAGGACCATCTGGAAAGAAAGAGGACTATTAACTGCAGTAGTAAAGGAGATTAACCATGCCAAAGAAATCCTAGATTTGTCAGAAGCTATTATGGAACCAAAAGAAGTGGTCGTTGTCCACTGTCCCAGTCATCATTTTGTTTGGCTGCCCAAGGAAACAATCAAATGGATCAAGCCACACAAAGTTGCCTAAATCATCAATGATGGCTTTAATCCCACATACAAACTTGACAAAATGTTGCCCCAAATACTTCCCTGAGGATTTAGAAAGAGCTAATGAACAGGAATTTTGTTGGGAGTCCTGATTATTCTCAAGATGCTAATTACAAATATACCCCAAAGAGGTGGATTATAATAATCAGGGAAAATTCCTCATCCCTGAGCATCTTATAGAAGATGTCAAAAGTCACATTTAGGGGCACCTGGGTGGCTCTGTCGGTTAAATGTCGGTTAAGTGTCAGCTCAGGTCATAATCCCAGAGTCCTGGGATCGAGTCCTACATCGGGCTCCCTGCTTCAGCAGGGAGTCTCCTTCTCCCTCTCCCTTTCCACCTCCCCCCCACTCATGCTCTCTCATTCTCAAATAAATAGTCTTTAAAAAAAAAAAAAGCTACATTTTCCAGAACACCCATTACAGGAGAGATGCTACTCTCCAGTGAATTCAAAAATTCATCATAAGACCAAACCCACACAGGACTATTCAAAAGGTAATTTAAAAATATATGATATGTGCTAAAAACAACCCAAAGATGGGACCACCCATAAAAGGGGTCTGATCTAGACGCACTGGACAGGAGAAGATTGGCAGATTGACTTCACTATGATGCCAAGAGCAACTGGAAACTTCAGGTATGTATTAGTATTTCTAGACCCTTCTACTGGCTGGGGAGAAACCTTTCCTTGCTGATCTCAAAAAGCTTCTGAGGTTGTTAAAGGCCCCTGAAAGGAAATAGTTCACAGCTTTGGGCTACCCAAGTCTATTCAAAGTGACAACAAGAGGAGTTTTGACAGCAAAATAATCCAAAAATATCAGGTGCCTTGAATATTCATTGGAAACTATAGGCATCTTGGCGATCACAGCCTACTGGAAAGACAGGAAAAAGTGAATCATACCCTTAAAAATACATTAGCTAAAATTTGTGAGGAAATGAATTTAATTTGAACTAAGATTTTGCTAATTGTCCTGCTCTAAGTAAGGATGGCCCCTAGAAGCAGGCTCCAATTGAGCCCCTACAAAATGCTGTATGAGAGGCCCTTCCTATACTGTGAGCATGGTATGAGCTTACCAGAGGGAACTCATATTAAGTGACTGAACACCATAAGATATGTAGTCTTTGAAAGCTACTCAAACTACTATACATGACTTTGCTTCTAACAGGTTATTATACCCTACAGATGTTCCTCTCTACCACTTGTTTCCTGGAATTTGGGTCCCATTAAAATCCTAAACAAACAAGCACCTAGATTAACTCCACCCCCA